GATTGAAAACTTAATATTTATGGAGTTTAATCACAATTTTAATTTTTATTTGTTATAATATTTTACTTGATGTTGTTACTAGTTTAAGAAATTAAAAAAAATGTACTTTTTGTCGGATAAATTGCATATGCGATAGAATTATAAATTATTTAATGAAACAATAAAAAATATTTGATATCAATATTATTTATTTTATGTTATAATAACAGTAATTAAATTTACAATATTTAAATTAAAAATTATATATATATATATATATATTATTTTATAATCTTAATTTATTTATTTTAATCGATCACATTGCAGAAATAACTGCTATTTTTTAAAATATATATATTATTTTATAATCTTAATTTTTTTTTAATCGATCACATTGCAGAAGTAACTGCTATTTTTTTTAAAATATTTATAATTCAATAAAGTTGGATTTGTCCAGTAAAAGTGGCCTCCAAGTCATTTTTTTAAATTATAATCTAAGTTTAAAAAAGTTTACACAGTAAAAGATATTGTTGAAAATGAGTAAGTATAATCAAAGTTTAGAAGATGTTTGAGAAGTATAATTGATATTATTTATTTAAACATAATTTAAAAATATTTTTAAATTATCTTGATATTAATATATTACAATAATTTTAAAATAAAAAAATCAGTCAAAGCGCCAAACACCCCCAGTAGGCTCGTTTGGGAAGTTATGATTTTTTAACGCATTATGCTCAAAAGCTAATGATTTTTTTTTTAATCTGAAAGATATTTGATAAATATTTTAAACAGTCATAAATCAAAAGTAATAAAATGAAGTATTTAAGTGTTATTTGACATAGTATGTTGTTGGAGATTTTATTGACACAGTGATATCTATAACCATAACAAGTACAACCACCAACTATTTTTGAAAAATAAAATTATTTTTTAAATTAAAATAGTTTTAGATATAATTAAGATTTTAATAACTAAATAATTAAAATTTTTAATTTTAATATCTTTATTTTTTAATTAAAAACAATGTAATGCTCAACATGTGTAAATCCCAAGAGTTTTTAATTAAAAAATACATTAAAAAATAATATAAAATAAATTATTAAATCATTTATACATCATCGTGTTAACTCAATTATTATTTTTTTCTAAAATGATATTTTTTTAATTCATGAGAGTTGATGGCAATAAATTTTATTTAGTTCTAGTTAAATTAACTTAATAATAAATTAATCTATTAAATTAATATTAAAAACAATTCAAAATAAAAACCAGGTTTAAATTAAAGTTCCAAATTGCTAAGTTATTTATATTTTCCAAACCATAATTTTATTCAATCAAGTCATTCCTTTTATTTTCTTATAATTTATCATAAAAAATATTATCTTAATAAATAAAAAATATAAATTAAAAATTATATCATAGGGCCTACCAGCTAGAGAATTTTCTATCTAAATTGACAAAAAATAAAAATAAAAATCACATCATACTCTTAAACCCCAAATTGACAAAAAATAAAAATAAAAATAAAAATCACATCGTACTCTTAAACCCTACCTAACCAATCAATTTTCAGAGCTCAAAGAAGAATTTGGAAAAAGATATTTAATAAACAAAAAATCATAAATTCCATGAATTATTTTATTTATTTTAGACGATTGTTTGCTTCCATGGTTTTTTATAGTGTGTTTAATATTCTAGGGCATAGAGTTTTTTTTAAAATATTATTTTCTTGAAAGTATGTTAATATATATATTATTTTTTTAATATTAACATATTAAAACTATAAAAAACATTATTTTTTTAAAATATACACAAACACAATTAAAAACACAATAACAAACACTTGAAAATGCCGCATTGACAGCAAATTCTCGTGCTTCTCAAACTTGGAACACTGTCTCAGTGTCTCATCATCTCGTGTCCAATATCTCAATCAAAAGGAAAACAGACAGGGAAACAACAAGAAGAAGAACACAGTGAAGCAGAAGCGAAGCAAAAATAACACAACACAACATTGCCTTCTGACCGAAGCAAAAATAACACAACACAACATTGTCTTCTGACTCTCTCTCTCTCTCTCTCTCTCTCTCTCTCTCTCTGTTTCTTTATCCGCTGCTGCTGCTTCTTCCTCCCTGTACACCACCAACAGCAACAGAAAAACCCCAGCTCGCAAGTTCAAGAAAGAAAAGAGGAGTAGGG